CAACTAATTATACCACTTTTGTTCCTTACATGGATATCTACAAACATGGGAATTGTTGTGTTCATCGGACATTCGACGGCCGAGATCAAAGGCTCCCCCCCCCCCCCATCGAGTCAGGGAGGTGCCCAAAGTAGCCTAGTACTGTAAGGGTTAAAGGGTGGTCCGTAATTTGTTGATGTATTTGTATATGATTATTCAAATAAAATTTCTGCACGAATCAATTTAGCAATACAGTTATAATTATGTTGTATTTTTGTTGATTTTTGTTGTTGGTGAATGCCATGCAGAAATATATAATATGAAATAGGATATAGGCTGTATAGAATTAATATGGACAGAACAAAAGAGAGGTATAATTTGCCTATTTTTTGAATTTCAATGAACCTTCTCTTTAAAACAAAATCAAGTACAAGACAAATAGAGAGTGAATTCATGGTCTCATCCAAATAATAATCAAGTATCGAAATAACATCATGAGAGTGAGAAGGGGGTAGAAGCAAATTTTAAAAAAATAAACAGGAATACTTGACAAATCATTACATAGGGCAAGCAAGAGAAGTAACAATAAAACCGATGGTTATCACAACAAAATTTAAAAGAGTATTTTCACCTTTATGTGGAAATCAATGAGTAAGTATACACAGAGCCAGGGATGGATTAATTGTTATTATATACCTCACTTTAGAAATCTAGCCATCTGATTGGTCGAAATTGGAGTCGTGATTTCAAGTAATGCCCCACTCACAGGGAAAAGCAATAGCCCACAGTCGAGACGACGATGATTTTCACTGATACACCTCAATATTTGCAGTGCAACTAAAAATTTCGATGATCTACGAGCCTTATTATTTACTACAAAACAACGTTTTTCTGCGATTGGTGTGACCGAAACTTGGTTTGTTGACGACATATCTTCTTCCTTATGCTCACTACCAGGTTATGATATTATTACAAATAATAGATTAGAGCGGTCCGGAGGTGGTGTCGCCATGTATATGTCTCAAGAATATGAATATAAGCTACAACCAGAATTAAATCGGATGGAAAATTTCATTGAGACGGTATTTGTTGAAGTCATTGTGCCAAACAATAAAAACATTATAATAGGAACAATTTATAGACCTCCTAATTCGAGCCAAGACGATTTCTCTCGTGTTTTCCATGAATTATTACTGCATCCATTAATGTTAAATAAAACGTGTTTTCTTTTAGGAGATTATAACATGAATTTATTGAACAACGCCACTGATACATTTGTCCAAAATTTTGTCGACACCCTCCTTACAGCTAGTTTACTACCACTTATAACTAATCCAACGAGGGTTACAGAAAACACTGCTACTCTTATTGATAATATTTTAACAAATGCTAATTTTTTTCTCCAAAATCAGGTATAATCTTGTCTGAAATCTCAGACCATTTCCCCATTTTTACTCAATTTCCAATTGAAAAAAATTTGCTGATGCATCCCAATGTCGAAGTTAAAAAACGTGATTTTTCTGAAGAAAATATTGTTAGGTTTGGACAAATACTCGGAACTACTGACTGGTCGGTGATATATCAAATTGATAATGTTAATCAATCTTTAGACACTTTTATGGATCTTTTAAAAGATGCTTTTGATACTTGTTTTCCAGCTAGTAATAAAAAACGTAGTTACAAAAAGACTCCTAGGAATCCCTGGGTAACGAAAGCTCTTTTACGTTCCATAAATCTAAAAAAACAATTTATTTTTAAAGTATAAATTTAAGCTATTGGATAAAGATAAGGTAAAATATACGGAATATAAGAACATATTGGTTACTACCTTGAGGAAAGCTAAACAAAAATATTTTTGTAAGCAGTTTGAACTGTATAAAAATGACCTAAAAAATACTTGGAAGGTTATCAAAAGTGTTATACACGGGAAAAGCAAGTATTCCACAATTAAAAAGATTAAAGTTAATAATGAAGTTATTGATAATACCGAACTAATCCCGTTATATTTTAATGATTATTTTTCAAATATTGGTCTCAACCTTGCTCAAAAAATACCAGACTCAAATAAGCATTTCACCGACTTTCTTGGAACCCCAAATTCACTTTTTATATATTTCACACCAGTTCTTGAAAGTGAAATTATAAACATAATTAACGGATTGAAAAATAAGCGGAGTTCTGGACATGATGAAATAAGCAATTATCTCCTGAATAAAATAACCCTTGATATTGTCCAACCTTTAATTTATATTTTCAATCTATCGCCTACAACTGGGGTGGTGCCTCAATCGATGAAATTGGCAAAAGTTGTTCCTGTCTTCAAGAAAGGAGATCCTTTAGAGTTAAGAAACTACAGGCCTATCTAAATCTATCTATCCGTATCTAAATTTCTTGAAAAAATTGTATTTTTTTTCGTACTGTAAAATTCTTTTGTGCTAGTAATATTTTCTATCAGGCACGGTTTGGCTTCCGTGAAAAGCATAGTACAACACATGCCCTTTTGACTCTAATAAATAAGATGGCTCGCTCTATTGACAATTTCGAACATACGGTGGGGGCTTTCTTGGACTTCTCTAAGGCGTTTGATACGATTAATCACGAAATACTTCTTTACAAACTTTCTAACTATGGAATCAGAGAATTACCCTTAGAGTGGTTAAAGAACTACCTCCACAATAGAAACCAATACGTTCTCATATACGATGCACATTCTTCTATAAAGACTATTGAATGTGGCGTGCCTCAAGGTTCTATTTTAGATCCGTTACTTTTTATTGTTTATATAAATGATTTTTACATGTCTTCAACAACCCTGTCTTTTCTCTTGTTTGCTGACGACTCTAACATTTTCTTTTCTCACAAAGACCCAGAAATTTTACTGAGAACGGTTAACTCTCAATTACGAGAAGTTAACTGGATCAAGGCAAATAAATTGTCATTGAATTTAATAAAAACCAATTATATGCTTTTTAGTAATATTATTGATAATTTACCAGAAAATATTGTACTTGATAATACTGTCATACAAAAAGTCTCTTCTACGAAGTTCCTGGGAATAATAGTAGATGATAAACGTAAATGGAAGCTGCATGTTGATGTTTGTAAAATCATCTCTAGAAATATTGGTATTTTGAACAAGGTAAAATTGTCTTTTCCATCTCGTATACTGCTTAATTTATACTCAACTTTAGTACTTCCTTACTTGAATTATGCAATACTTGCGTGGGGCACCTGTGGAAATACTCAATTAAATAGAATTTTACTATTGAAAAAGAAAGCAATGCGAATCATTTGTCACACTAATTTTCACGCTCATACTAATGAACTCTCTCACGCAAATAATGTTTTGAAGATTCATGACTTATTTTTCTACAACTTGGGTATATTTATGTATACACTAGAAAAAATGAATTGCCACAAGTTCTCTCAAATATGTTGAACAAAAATACTGAATTTTATAGTTACCCCACGAGAAAAGCAAAATGTTATCACCTACCAAAGACAAGAACGCAATTTTCCAGCAGGATTTTCACTTTCATTGGCCCAAAATATTGGAATGCCCTTCCTGGCACATTACAAGAAAAGCCCTTATTAAGTGGTTTCAAAAATGCCGTCAAGCACTTTTTGTTGCAAACGAATCAGAATAAGTAGTTCCCCTCTTCCTCTCTGTCTCTTTCTCTGTCTCCCTCAACCCCCTCTCTCTGTCTTCTTTTTTATCTTCCTGCATGTCTTCCCCCTCTTCTGTTTTTTACTCTCTCATTCCTATAGTCTTCATTTATCATCATCATCTTGTCATTCTGCTAATGTTTCTGATTTGTTTTTGTCTCGTTAATTGTTTGTTTTTCTATTGTCTGTCATGTTTTTTTGATTCCGTAATTTTTTTTAAATTAAGTTACAAATGTATAAAGTATAATTATTATTGTGCGAACCTACATCTAACAAGCTTTGCTTTCAAGTAGGTTCGTTTTTTTCAATTCTTGTGATTAAATCATTTTGCATTACAATGACTAAAAAACAATGTCAAAGATATTTCAATGCTTATTTCTGTTATACCATTACGTTTATTATTGTTTGTTATTGTTTATATTATGTGAAAAAGAAATGGAAAATAAATTCGCTCTGTTTAAAGCTATTATATATATTTAAAAAAATTAAAAAAATCACCATCCACCATTCGAACCAAGGTAATTTCATTGTTTGATACCATTGTTCGAATGGTGGATGGTAATTTGGACAAAGAATCATGGTTGCCATGGTACTTTTTTATAAGGGCACTTAGTCCACTCCACTTCATTCGATAAATAATTCTTTTAATTCTTGCTTCAAAACTTCCTTGTAACAACTTTTGTATCGTTAATCAGATATTGCTCAAACTTTCAATTATTTTTGTTTCTCTTATTTTTCTGCTTTTATTAAAACAAACTTAATAACATGGTATCAAACTATGGTAATTTCATTGTTCGATACCATGTTTACCATGGTTCGAATGGTGGATGGTAATTTGGACAAAGAACCATGGTTGCCATGGTACTTTTTTACAAGGGTGCACTTAGTCCATTCCACTTCTAGAAATAATCATTCGATAAATAATTTCTTTAATTCTTGCTTCAAAACTTCCTTGTAACAACTTTTGTATCTTTAATCAGATATTGCTCAAACTTTCATTTATTTGTTTCTCTTATTTTTCTGCTTTTATTAAAACAAACTTAATATCAGGGTTGACTTCCCCTTTAAGTATGTTGCGATCTTCCTACATGTGAGTTTCTTTTAGAGCATTCAGGTTGTACAAGCATACAACTGTTTACATGGTGCTCCCCGCCCACCCTCAAGGTTTCCACGGTTAGCATTCACACTTAAATGCTTTTGTTAACACTGCTGCCGCCTGTGAAAAGTGTGAAAAGACCATTGATCCTTCTGTCAAAAGAACCAGCATATATGAGACATTTAAAAGAATTAAAGAAAAGTAAAATGTAGATTAGAAAAGGGAAGAGGGGGTAATGGGATGAAATTAAATTAGTCACTCATACATGCATCACAATTGTGGATGAACTGCTCACCTTTGATTCTCTTTCTTTCCTTGCAAGTGTTTCAAAAAAACACTGATGGAATGCACCTGATAGAGAAGCTTTCTTCAAGGATGGCATGGAGCATGATATTATGTCTGCCACATCAAGTGACATGGTAGGTCCACAATCTCTCTCTCTACCGAGTTCAACCTGGATAAAATGAAAAAGTGATTACTGGTTTAATGCAGAATATAGATGTTCACTTGGATGTTAGACATAGATGTGTTACCTACATGAGAGGTTGCCCTAGATATGCTGCTAGAACGTACTACAGAGAGTAAGAGGGCAGCATTTACACATCTCTGTTTTCATATACCTTTCTTTTGGCCTACCTACCTCCACTATCCTAGATGCTACAGACTTCTAACAAGTTACTCTAGATAGTGCAAAAGTGTTTTTTTTTATCTTTGTCATACAAAAGGCTCCTCAAAATGCCATCTTCATACTCTAAATTTAACTCCAAAACCAACTCTTTCAAGAATTGATGAAATTCTTTAAATATTGACCAATGAAAAAGACAAATTGCCATAACTTTGACATATCAATTCCATTCGGTCCAAATTTTTTACAGCATCTTTATCTTTGCATATATTGCCCACGTTTCGGCCGAATTTCACAGATCAATGGTTACTTATGATATGAATAGCACCCTCTAAAGTTTTGAAAATGGATGTGTTTATGTGGCAATAGCTATGTCATATTCGGGTTTAGATACTTCAAGATATCCCTTTTTCAGTAAAAAAAAAAAAAAGAAAAAGAAAGAAAGAAAACAGATGCACCTCACTATTGACCGACTGCGCGAGAAATTGCTCTCAAAAACCGTACTAGGTCTATGAAACTTTATAGCAGACATGTGTATCAACCTTCTTCACAACTGCCTGCCAAGTTTGATAACATTTCTTGACGTTGATCATTACAAGGTTATTGTAAAAAAATGCTCAATTTGCTATGCATAACATTACAATGTGTGACATGCTTCTAGTACATTTAATTGTCATCCACGCTAATAGCATGGATGACAATGGGGTCAAAATGACTGTAATGAAATGCGGCTTCAAATGATACCATAAACAGTATACATGTATGTCCACTCAGAAAATTTTGAGTAAATCGAAATTGTAACAGGGCACAAATCAGATTACGCAGGGTTTCTGCCCAACTGTAACATTGGCTATAACATCAATTTTCAGATTGATTTTGTCCCCTTTTTTATTTATTTTTTATCTTGGAATTTTGCAAGTATATTCTGGGGGCCAAACTCAGGGCATCTCATTGTCTCATTTTGAAAATCTGTCAAGCGGGACGTTTTAGATGCCATTTCATACCCTGCACTATATGCGTCACGTATTAGTATGTTAGCATACAAGGTCGTATACGCCAAATTATATGGAAAACCATACGTGCGTAATGACATGTGCCTTGCCGAGCGTGTGTACATAGGATCATTCATCTGCTTAAAAATAGAAATATGGGCATCAATGCATGCATTTCATTCTACGATTGCAGTTCTAGTTTCCAAATTATTACTGTTCAAACCTCTTTGATTTGAGTTCTTTTCCAACAGCAATGCAGTAATACATTTCTACAATGATATTTATATACTGAGAACAGAAACTACTGGTTGGTAAAAAGGGGAAAATAAAAGCACATGTGCTAGTCGAGATGCACCCTGCCATAAGTATACTGTTGTACTGTAAGAAAAGTGCAAAAGGTATAAAAGTAAGAACTTGTACCAAAATGGTTGAACTATCATGTTTATCAAACTATGATTAAACTTACCACATGTGGTCCAATGAAAGCATAACCAGCTACAGTGTGTGCTGTCGTGTATGGGGATATGGCCACCTCAATATTCAATGAAGAAACCCTGTCCTTCACCAAGGCTGCAACATCTGGGTCCTGACTCTCAAAAGCTACATCAACAATGAAATCTATCTCTATCTTAGAAGCCTTTACCGATAGTTCTTGAAGCATAGAGTTAATTACATAGGTTGCAATACTTTTGTTCTGTGACACAGTGAAGTACAGGAGATACTTAAACTCCTCCTCCTTTGGCAGCACTATTTGATCAATCAGCCTGTTGAATTCATCACGATCTGACTCATATAGGGAAGCAAGATGGACTCCAGCCATGTACTCCTGAAACAGTTTGTGAGGGAAGAAAACTGGCAATTGCACATGAGAATTCCTCTCATGTGTATCCGTGTCAGCAGTAATTCTGTCCTCCTGAGACAAAATCCCGACCCTGCAAGCAGTGTCCTTGGATTCTGGGCATACTTCGAAATCATCTTCACCGAAAACCAATGTATTTTCTAGCAGACCATTGAGGGCCTGTTTGGCAATAGGTCCAAGGAGCTCCTCAATATCTTTCAAATAGGCAATAAGTGACGAGCTGCCTACTTTATTCACCTCTTTCTGAGCATAATGTTCTTTTAGAAAGGCAATCATTTCTTTGAAAATCTGAGAAAAGGTTTTCAATGATTTCATTTCCTTTAGTTTTTGCTTGTCACGTTCTTTCCACATAAGACACAACATGGCTACATATATAGGAAAGTGGGCCATGTTTTCAGATATGACATCATTCTCACTGATGAACTGGATAAGCCGATTTGCTTTATCCTCATCCTTTGGAAAGTATTTGTGAATGTAAACTGACAAATTCTCTCTGTTGAAACCCTCAACATGAATGAATGTGTAGAGCTTCATTAGATCACCATCTGATCTAATCTCTACTGCTCTCCATGGGCGAGTGGTCACCAAGACTGGGCAAGAGGCAAGTTGATCTGAACAAAGAATATCTTCAAGTCCAATGTCATCAGTCTCAGATGAGCTTCGACATGCCTCTGAGAGGGTGACACTTTGCTGTGATGGCTGAGGTTGCATATGATAAGAAGGTTGTGATTCGCAAGATTTTGTCTTCATGAATTTGCCACTTAATTCGTCTAGCCCATCTAATGCGATAAATACCTTGTTAGGATTTGACCGGATATACTCAGTTATCTGAGAAACCTTTGCTGGATTGTTTTTGGCCAGATAAGACTTTGCAATCTCGCCAATAGTGTGTTGCTTAAATTTACGTAGAGGAACGATCAAGACCCACACAAAGTGACTGAAATGCCTCCCTTCAATCCAGTCCCAGGCAATCTTAGCACAAAATGTAGTTTTTCCAGCCCCTGCCTCTCCCTGAACCAAGATCCGCTTGGGGAACTCTCCATTGACTTTGAGATCAATAAAATTGTTGTAATCTATTATTTGCTTGCCAGTTCCATCCTCTTCTTCCAATACAAGATTTGTGTGTAGTTTTTCAAAACCCACAAGTGAAGAAGGCTTGAGAGGATCAGCTCTGATCTTACAGAGAGTTGACCTGTAATTGAACTTGAAATCATTTGCACACTGCTCAACCAGTTCAGGAGAAAGTTGTTTGGACTGTGATTCTGACGGTCTTGATGGCCCTCCTAAAAATTAATAGATAATCCACATTCGCTTGGTATAGATAAACATAGTTTGATCATATGTACATCTGAAATGGTTGAAAAGGCCCGAGGCTAATAGTGTGACCTACAATGTACGACTAGGTGCATGTACTCAAGGAGTCCTACACGTTTGTCTGAATTTATATGACTACATTCAATTTTAAGGACATTTAAAATCTGAGTAATTATTGTATTCAGGAACTAGTAGATGAATATCAATGGCATAATTTTTCCTACGACATTTCAGCAATACAGAGTTTCCCTGACAATCACACATCTTATTTTGAAGGAAAAAACAAGACAAATGTGATAGCGTCTCCAGTATTCCTCTGCCTAAATTCAGTTAAGATCAGGGCTAGAATCAATCTCTTAATATTACAATGAGAGCAAAAAGCCTCTCTCTCTACATGTATATGTATATAATTACATGTTGATTGAAATACCTTTCCAACCCTTGACCTTTGACCTAAAAAATCAACATCTGATCACTTTTCTCCCTATGGTGACGCAAACCATATGTAGTTAGTAATTGACCCTCTTAAGTTAACCCAAATATAATCAGTTTGTCTCAATATGGGGATGCATACCAACACCACATGGCTCAAACCATTCTTGAGACATTGCAATAATGGGGCTAAAACTCTGAATTTTTTTTTGACCCTCATGGCCTTTGGCCTTTGACCTTCCTATCCCGAAATATAATCACTTCATCTTGCTTTGGTGATGCATGATAACACCAAGTTTGAAGTTCATACCTCAAATGGTTCTTGACATATCATGAGGCTAAAACCTGTAATTTCTTAAGTTTACCTCTATGACCCACTTACACCCAAATCTAATCGAAGATTATCTTCTTATGGTGATACATATTATCAACAAGTGTGAATTTCATACCTCAAGTGGTTCTTAAGATATCGCAATAGCAAACACGTAGGATGAATGGACATACAACCCGAAAACATATTTTGTCCTACATTAAATTCCGTGAGCAGATGCATAATTACAGTTATCATTATGGAATGACCCGAAATAATATAATTTGTTTGTAGAACATGTGCACATAAAGAAAGCTGACACACATTAAATGCTGCTGTCACTCAAAGTGCTTGTACTATTTTGGGGTCCAGAAAATATCTAAGATTATTAAAGTTTAATTAGTAAATTTTTAAAACATGCATGGGGCCTGATGAAATTGGACACTTCTGTAAACAGAGGCAAATGTTTAGAACACAGAGCACGATCACTATCTAAATGGTAAAAATTGACTTCGCTTTTATGAATGGTTTTCTATGTCTTCTGGTGTAGCAATACTTAGAGTCTGTTTACCTGTGATCTTTGGAAATGGAGGTCCATCAAGTAATCCGTCTGATAGGCCACCCAAGTCAATCTCTTGTAGTTTGTCTGCCAAAAGCTGTCGTTTGTTTGAGTGTGGAGGTTGCTGCTTGACATTCCATTTCATAAAGACATCCATAAAGGCATCTTTGAAGTTCTTCGAATTCTCAATCAGGTTTGCCTTAAGCTGAGCATGGGAGAACCCTAGAGATATCCCTACATTGTAGTAGTAAGATGGATCGATATCCTGGGCCAGCTTCAGGAACTCCATTTCACTGACAGTACTGTAAAATGAACAATAAATCAATTGGGTATGATAGTATTTTAGTTGGAGAGCATCCTATTGGCTGACAAGCTTTTATGTGACACTCAACAATTTGCATTACGTGCTCGAGCGTGCAATTTAACAAGCTGGGGATATCAGAATATATATTGCCTGTGATATTAACATTTGAAACATACTGCCCCAAATTACAGGTGAGTGCGGTATTGTTCTCGCAAAGGTAATCATTCTGCCTAAAGCAGAATCTGGCAGTACATACAATTATGGTTAGATAGTAATGATAATATCAATAAGAAAAAGATTACTACTAGTTCTAATATTAATAATAATGATAATCGCCTATTGAATACTTAGCAATACAGCGGCATTCTCATGAACTTCGCGATCGATGCCTCACTAGTTTTCGCACTGGCCTGTTTATTTTTTTTTAAATACCCGACACTGCTTGACACGAGAGGTCCAGGGATGAGCGAGTAGACCTTTAGCTAGTGTATGGGAGTGTGAATTGGAGTGTGTATAAGAGTGTAAATGTGAGGGTTTATGAGAGTGTCCAAGGTACAGGAGTGAGAATAGGAGCGTGTATAGGAATGAGAGCGTGTATTGAAGAGCAAAGGGCCTGCTTGCTCATCCTTTGACCTACTCTTGTGTCACCTCACAAAATATATTTTAAACGTGAATTAATTTGCCTGTTATTGCCTTAGTCATATTAGTTATGAACTTTGTTATGAATTTTGTTATATACTGTATATTATACTTTTCAACCACATTTGTATGTATTCATTGCCAATGTAAATTGTTCATAATTCAGCCATCTGGCTGCGAAGTGCAATCAATAAAACCTTTTCAATCTCAATCTCAAATCGCCTGTGAGAGGCGAGTGGGCGGCGCGCTGTCTGTCAGTTAATTATTCAGGCTCGTTCATTCTATTCATTTCAAATATAGTTTGATATGCTGGACAATTTCAAGAAATAAAAATATGTTAAATCATTTAGTATTTTTATTTTGACTAAAAACCGTACCACTCTTTGTTTATTTAATTTTTAAGCACCGGGAAAGAAACTTGCATTGTTAGATTTATCGATCGGCTTAAAATTGCGGCCAACGCCAACCTGTCTACAACGATCACTTTTTGTGTTACCCTTAGGCGGTCGCTATAGACAGGTTTGACTATACATACTATCATTATTATTACTATTTGATTCTACTAATATACTACAACTTCTACTACTACTATACTACTACTACTACTACTACTACTACTACTACTACTACTGCTAGTACTACTATAAGTACTACTACTACTATTTTTATTATTTATTATTATTATTATTATTATTATTATTACCTTCATCATCATGATAATTATCTGCATCATTGCATAGTCTATATGCATATTTTGTATTCACATGATAACTTAAAGTGTCACATACAAAGAGAAAGTCGAGTTCTGGGAAAGGTGTAAATAATTTGTGAGCCTTTTCATTCTGTTTATGTTGGTGTGGAAGAGTATCATAGAAAAAAGTTCCTTGAAAAAGATGGCTCTTCAAATGCCCTCATACTCAAAATATGACAAATAATTTGATGTGGACCACACTTTCACGACACATGTTTGTGTAGTCATATATACACATTTCTGTGTCCAGTTCATGTGACTTTTAGCAAGACTGGGCCAAATAATAATTTTGACGACTCCAAAACAAAACAGTATATACCAATACTGTTGCGCTACATGCATGATCAACCTTTGGAATCACTTCCACACTAGTTAGCTGTTTCTTTTGCAATGCAATCGCGTGACCAGAACTGAACTCTATTGTTAACCCACAAAGGTTACTCGTATAAAGGCTAGCTTACTTTGAATCATCGGGTCATCATGTCGGGTCAGGTTGTAGCGTTACCCGGCCTTTTGTGAAAATTAACATGCCATTTATTTATGAAATGTCAGGGGATATGTTTGTGAAACAAATCGTTCTCATCTTCAAATGGTCTGGTCCAAATTACGTGACACTTTGTGAAAACCTTTCAGTAAATCTACTTAAGATCGCATCCTGAACGTGCATCTTCACATGATCTTTTGTTTTATGCACATGTTATAAATACCTCTATTACTACTGGATGTGTCCCTATCGAATGGAAAAAGGCAAGAGTAAGTGCTTTACATAAAGGTGGAACAAATGAACCCACAAATTTTAGACCGATATCGATACTGCCAATACTTTCGAAAGTACTAGAACGGGTAGTGTTCGATCAGTTATATGACTATCTGAATAGTAATAATCTAATCAATGTATATCAATCTGGCTTCCGGCCACTGCACTCAACAGCCACTGCATTGCTGAATTCGACAGATGAATGGCTGAAAAGCTTCGAACAAGGCAAAGTGGTGTGCTCTGTAATGATAGATTTGAAGAAAGCCTTCGACACAGTTGATTTTGATTTACTAATTGAAAAATTAAAATATTATGGTATTGGACAACACACACTTAATTGGTTCACAAGTTATCTGTATGAGAGATACCAAAAAACCACAGTCCATGGTATATCATCTGAGTTTTTACCTATTCAATCTGGAATTCCACAAGGGTCCATCCTTGGACCTCTTCTCTTTATTATGCACATCAACGATTTACCCTTAGTACTAAAAAATTGTAAAATAAATATGTATGCTGATGACACTATTTTATATTATGCTAGTAATGACTTTTCTGAACTGGAAAACAAAGTAAACGAAGATTTAGTAAATGTGAAAAAATGGCTTGATGTCAATAAGTTAAGTTTAAATATAAATAAAACAGAATACATTGTACTAGGAACAAAAATCGTCTTAAACTAGCACGTAATACAAATTTGAATATTAACATAGATGGAACCCCTCTGAAAAGAGTTACTACATGCAAACATTTGGGAGTGATTGTGGATGAAACTTTATCATGGACAGACCATATTAAATCTGTACAAAAGAAATGTAGTAGTGGATTGTATATGTTAAAATCAATACGTAATATTGTTGGTAAAGATACATTGAAATTAGTATATAATGCATTGATTTTATCCCACCTCTCCTATTGTGATGTAATATGGGGAAACTGTGGAAAGTGCCTTCAAAATGATCTCCAGAAACTTCAAAATCGGGCAGCTCGAATAATAAATGATACCCCTTGGGATTCATCGGGAAGCTACAACCTTAATAAACTTGGATGGGATACGCTTGAACAGAAAAGGAAGGAAAATATCGCTTTAATGACTTTCAATATACTTAATAAAAAAGCTCCTTCTTATTTAATTGATAAATTTTCGTTCAGAGAAAGACCACATAATACGAGAAGTGGCAATCTATGTATTAAGACAATCCAGCCTAAAACGGATAGTACCAAACGCACATTTGTGTACAGAGGCGCTTGCCTATGGAACTCACTACCACACGAAGTGCAAGCTGCACAAACCAAATACAGTTTCACAACAGGTCTCAAAAGAATAACAAATTTATAATAATATACAATATACTATGCTCAAATATGTCTATGAACTTTCGAATGTTTCCTTTTTATTTTTGATGTGTCCATTTTTGTGTTGTTTGAATTTATATTGTTGTGTATGCATCTGCTCAGGTATTTTTAAATTTCCATATGATGTAATATAATTTCATTTCATTTTATCCGAAAATGATTAAATAATATATCTTTTATCTGCTGTGCTTGTTATTCTAATTCACTTTTAAGTGTTTTTTTACTGACTTAAATAAAATAAAATTGTAATCATATCCTTAATTGTAATAATGCAGTATCTTGACCAGCCACATTTGATTTTTTTTTTTAATATTTTTTTTTTTTAATACATCATTTCTGGCAGTTTATATGCACTAGTAACAATTTGTATTACCTATTTTAATTTGAATTATATTTACAGTACTCTTGTTTGGACACTCATGATTATTGTTATCAATATACATATACTTTTTCGGCAGTACTATTCTATCGTTATATTGTTAGATATTTATCTTGATTATTTATTGTTTGTTTTAAATATGTCATTGATGTACCATTATCATTTTTATGTTAATTCGATGTATTTACATTGTGCCACACGGCCCCAATGGAAATCAGTCTTGTAACTGTTTGGGCTTTTTTAACCGTGTATAAATAAAGATATCAATTCAAAAAAAAAAAAAATTCAATTCAATTCAATTCAATGCAAGGTCGTGTAACGCAACCACCCGACCGGACGCGATGACCCAATGACTCGAAGTAAGCCAGTATGCATACCTTTCTGCAGTGTTAGGACCTGGATTGGTTTCAACATCACCAGATCTCATCAAGAGGATCAGGAGCAGGTAGAGAAAGCAGAATCCACCCATGGTGTAAGATGTCCTTCGAACTCGACAGAAATGTAGCCCTCTGGAAAATGGTGATGACATCGTGGGCAACAGTGCCTGAAAATATTATTCAGAAATATCTACATTACGTACATAAAGCAGATGGATTGAAGATCCTTTAGAGCAGGCCTTCTCAACTAGTTTATTAGAAGTGCCAAAACGAAAAGAATTTGTAGTTGAAGTGCCACCCTCCCTGTATGGTTGACTGTGCTGCAAGGGAGCGTAGCGACCGAGCCGAAAATGGTTTGGGTCCAGGGGCGAAGCCCTAACGGGGGTAGCAGGGGGCAGAGCCCCCTAAAGCTGGTGGATTTAGGGCTTTCTAAAGGCCCTAATGGGGCACTTTTAGCACCAGTTCATTCCACAATATAATCAATCATAATTTCATATTGATGTGACAAAATTAGTTCAATTCCTGGGTACAATTACACTGGAGGTATATTTATATGTAGTGTTTTGTGTGCAATAAACATAGGAAATGTCAAAATAAAGTTTTTAAAAAAAAGAAGATGTTTCCAGAGATTGGCAATGTTAAAATTGGTATCCCATCGTAAGCTAATTGTTGTTCAGACCTTAGGTTTAGATTCGTATAAAATGGTAAAAAACAATAAATTCCCCTTTCTTTATGTTTGTTAAGCAGGCATTTTGGGACCAAATTCGACTGCAACTTCTTGATTTAGCTGAGTATTTGATTCTAAAATATATATTTTCTTTCTTTCTGTTTTTTGTTTTGTTGTTGCAACATTCGCGCGCCACTCCGACTGACCGCAAGCGCCACAAGTGGCGCGCGCGCCGCCAGTTGAGAAGGCCTGCTTTAGAGGATTTCAATTCTCTATATATATCTATCTAATAATAGTGAACAATTTGGGGGGTTTTCGACGCCATAAATTGTGTTGCCCCCGCCTCCTGAAACCCGCCCTTAGGAAGAATTGCTGGGACCAGCCAAGAAGCTGTGCCTCGCAGGGTTCATATTCGAGAAATACAGTAATTGGGCAGATAACGATGATTTTTTGAATTGTTTTGGTAGTTGTCAATCGGGGCGGCCGAGTTTCTTTCACAGCGCGAAATAAGGGTCATCATGTACTGCATCGTATGCAGAGATCTCGGTGGAGCATGCATAAGATAGAAGCAGCAGTCTGGACTAAGGAAAGTGAGTGACGGTGACGGTAACAGTGACGCATAACAGCTAATGAAGTGTATTGCACATTCCTTCCGTGACTAGTCCGAACTTGCCTTGCAACAGCTATCAGTATCGAAACTTTTTATGATTATTAAAGTTGATACTCTAAGACAATCCAAAATATTGAGATAATTACATCAATAGAAAGCTTTTAACCCCCAGAATAACACTAAATGGTGTCCAACTGACAAAAACAAGTTTAGATTTTATGCGAGTAAACTCTACCAAACTGTCTGAAACCCGGAAGTGCATGTAGAGTCGGGCCTCTATCCGTGACGTCACGAACGGGACTCATGGGCTCAGTGAGAGTGAATGGCAGTGATATCCCTTCGTAAATGCTATCTAGTCAGAGCTTAGATTTGTACTTGTTAAGGAGTATATTTGATGGATTTTCTGTTTTCATTTGAATGAAGAATAACGAAGCAACATTTTCCAGTCGCTGATTTCTTTTTATATCCTCATATTCACCTATTTGGTAGAGATTTAAAACGAGTTTACAGCTTAGGAAACAAGGTTAAATCGTGCACGTATGAATAGGCGGATGCATTATCTTGTCATCAGATAAGATACAGGAGCAGTTTTGTAAAACGAATAGGTCTAGAACTATGATAGCACTTATCATAGATGAGTGTGACTGCCTCAAAAAAGGATAGGCCTACAGTACCAGTTAAACATTTTATGTTGTAAAATATCAAACTTGAACGAGATCATGCAAGCGCGCTTCCTCTATAATATTTTGGCTAGTGATGCGGCTCTTGCATGAACGTTCGTGAAGCGAGCAGAATCGGGAGGTAAGACCAAGCCGCTGCTCTAGGCGCTGCTTGCTTGTGATGGAACGTACGTGCGCTAGTTATATGTTTATCGGCAATTGCAAGATAATGAAAGCGACGTTGCCCAGCTAAGAAAAACAACTAACAAAGACTTGCTCCTGACTACCGGTGTCAGAATTGGTAGATGAAGGATCTTCAGGGCCAAGGAAGGCGAAAGACATGGGGAAAAGGAAGAAGAAACCATCGGGAGATCGCTGTATGGTAATGAACTGTGCATGGGTAGACAGCTACTGTTCACTCCGTGCCTGGGCCGATTTCAACACCAAAACAAAAATTACATGGTGAAAATATCGACTAATAGCACATCGTTGGCATGTATATGTCATAATTTTTAAAAGGGGAATTGATATTAAAGGTATTACAAAGTTTTGGGAATATTTCATCAGGATTGGATCATGAAATTTAAAATTTGCATTACTATTGTGAAACATAGTGTTAGAACACCCAACTCTAAAAAAATTGGGCTCTAAAAAGCTTTTGATTTGGAGTAATTAAAATTTTAAAAAATAAAAAAATTTACCGGTACTCCCGGTAAATTTGGTATAGCTCCCTCTCAGTTCGAAAATTTACATGTCATCTGAACAGCATAACACATATATAGCACTATTGTCAAAGTGTAGTAATTAACATGTTTTGACACCAAATCATATTACCAGACTTAAACAATATATATAATCATAAAGATAATTATTTTAAAGTCGAGTTGCCTTAGTGTAAGATTTTTATACTGTCTCCCAAATTTGAAGAAAAAAACACTTGTCTGTACACTGTAATCGCTATATAAATTTTTATAATCGATCGGACCGCCGCCATCTTATTGTACTTACGTTAGTCTATGTATTTCCTGTGCGGGCCGGAATATTCTGTGTTGTTCTCTTCAACTCATTTTTCCATTTCCCTCTCTTAATCGTTTCTGTGTTTTCAACTTTGAAATGCATTTGTTATGGCTCGACTTTGATAATATTGTTGTTCGTCAGATCTGTGAACGAACGCACACATTGCCTGTATTTTGGTCAAGTCAGTCAAGTGGTCGTGGTGACATGATCTGGCATCCCTGTGCATGTATTAGGCCTACGTATAGTACATGTTACGTGTGTACGTATATTAGTCTATGTGCCGGATTGGCCCGAAGAATTTCCTAGCACATTTTTTTTTAGGGATGATCTCAAAATACTCCCCAAAGTCGTTGTACAGGGACAGTTTGGGTAATCATTTATAGAGAGAACGTAACATTATTTATTTTGCATTTCTTTATTAAAAATAAGGAAGATACGTTTAATCTTACAAACGAAGATTAATCAATAATAAGGTTGACTTGACGTTTTCCCGAACAGTCGATCATGTGTATACTGCACATTCTTATTTTTAGATCATCCCTTAGTAAGTTTACGAGTACGTTTTGTTTATCCTGCTAAATGACCTCTGGTAGAGGTCAGTAATTGCTACACGTGTTTGGGCTATGGTTTGGGCTAATCTCTCTCTTTCCGTATAATTGAATTATATCCTTCGCCCCCCAACCAGGTCCATGTTATAACCAAGGAGTTACTACATGTAGTAACTCCTTCCCTTGAAATTCTCTCTCTCACTCTCTCTGTCGCTTCTATATCACTCTCATCTCCCCCTCTCTCTTTTGTATCTCTCTTTTGTATCCCTCTCTATCCCTTCTCTCCTTTCTCTCTCTCTCTCTCTCTCTTCTCTCTCTCGCTATCTTTATTTCTCCCATTTTCTTTCCCTCTCTCTTTATTTCTCTACCCCATACCATTCTCTTTTGATGTATATTGTATATATATATCTGTCTGAGTGTCTCTCTCTCTCCCTCTCATCGCATCACCTCGTTCATCCCCTTCTCTATCATATTTCTATATCCATATCACTTGTTAGTCTCTCTCTCTGTCGGTCTGTGTCCGTCTGTCTGATGACTGTCTCTCTCTCACTTACTATCACCATAGTAGGTCAATGATATCAACCCTTCATCTTTCTTTCGCTCCAACTTTCTCTCTCTCTCTCTAGAAGTTCTCATTCGCGTGATATAGGACCATATTATTTTTGTTTAGGGTTATAGATGAGGATGATATAAATATATGACAAAGATAATAATAATCACAATAACGAGAGAAGTTCTCATTCACGTGATAGGACAGTAATTTTTGGTTGGAGTTTATGACAACAATAATAATAATCACAAAGACGATAAGAGTTCTCATTTGCGTGATAGGACCATATTTCTTTTGACGGGGTTATGTAAATGAGGGTGATATAAATATATGACAAAGATAATAATTATCACAAATGCGAGAGAACTTCTTATTCACGTGATAGGACAGTAGTTTTTGGTTGGATTTTATGACAAGGATAATACTAATCATAAAGACGATAGAAGTTCTCATTCGCGTGATAGGACAGTATAGTTTTTGGTTGGAGTTTATGACAAGGATAATAATAATCACAAAGACGATAGAAGTTCTCATTCGCGTGATAGGACCATATTTCTTTTGTCGGGGTTATGTAAATGAGGGTGATATAAATATATTACAAAGATAATAATTATCACGAATGCGAGAGAACTTATTATTCACGTGATAGGACACTAGTTTTTGGGTGGAGTATATGACAAGAATAATAATAATCACAGAGACGATAGAAGTTCTCATTCGCGTGATAGGACAGTATAGTTTTTGGTTGGAGTTTATGACAAGGATAATAATAATCACAAAGACGATAGAAGTTCTCATTCGCGTGATAGGACCATATTTCTTTTGTCGGGGTTATGTAAATGAGGGTGATGTAAAAATATTACAAAGATAATAATTATCACGAATGCGAGAGAACTTATTATTCGCGTGATAGGACAGTAGTTTTGGGGTGGAGTATATGACAAAGATAATAATTATCACAAAAACGATAGAAGTTCTCATTCACGTGATTGGACAGTAGTTTTTGGTTGGATTTTATGACAAGGATAATACTAATCATAAAGACGTTAG